TTATTTCCCTTGACCAGTGGCACATTGGAAGGTCGTACCAGTCAGAGAAGTTACATCCACCGACATCCTGACACTGTGGGCAAGTGAGAAATCTTCTTCATGGGTTTAAGTTTTTCTATGAGGTCTTCATCTGCATAGGGTCACCGCATTTACATACATTGCTCTCCATATTTAATCTACGATAATGGGATAAAGAGAAGAAAAATATATAAAACTTGAAAAATGAGGGAAATGAACAGTGATTAGCACAGTGAAAATGGGAAAATAGAAATGGACGAAAATGCCACTGTTTAAATTGGTCAAATTTTACATTTTTTTTTTCCATTTTTGAGGTTAAATAACGGTGGAACTAACGTTTTTGGTCATTTTGGACTGCATTTGTAAATTTTTCAAAGGTTTGGGACATTTGGTTGCACAAAGTGAAGGTTGAGGTAAAGTCTGAAAAAAAAAAACAAAAAGGTTGGAGCCGCGGCTGCAATTTTCCCTTTTCTAAACTGTCATCATTATGTATTCATCTTCTATCTAATGTTTTTGCGAACATATTACGAGAGGTCAGATTTTGTGTTGCTAATATTATGATGAAACCTTGTTTAGTCTCTATCTTAACAAATTGCTCGATTTTAGTTAAATCTTTCGGTTGATTGCTTGTTATTTTTTTATTTACATCTTATTATCTAGCTAACTCTAAAATTATTTAGGGTTATGAGTATACCAATAGATGAATTATTTTCAAACATAAATAACAAATAATACAGAGTTTTATAAGAAATTTATTTCGTGCCTACAATGGACATGATAAAACTGTCCATTTGTTGATATGACAAGAGAATTTTATTTATAGTTCTTTCTAAATGTGATAAACGTAAGTAAAATTCTCTCCAAATTGATAAGATAAAACTTCTCACCGTGGATAGGAAAATATTTTTGAAGATTTATAAGAGATAGAGATACTTTTATTCTTGGTGCTATTATGTAATATTCTTGTTTAGTATTGCAATTTTATCTATTCACGTCCTTCATAGAGATATAATTTGATCAAAGGTAAATGTAAGTTTAATTTTTCTCGAGAGAGAGAGAGAGAGAGTTAGCACATAATGATGATTGTTAACAGAAAATAAAAATTGACTATAAAATGGTAGTTGACAGTAAAAGAATGTTAACCATAGTGAATTCGGGATCCTTATGCCTTTGTGAAGTTCAAAAATTTACTTTTATTTGCTAGATATAGTAAAATCAAACTCAAAAATTAATCGCCTGTGTTTCAAATTAGAGGAGAAAAATACTTTATTCATCAATTATTACTTGTAATAATTCGTCCACTTACGTGAGAAAATCGATAGCAAGATTTTTTAGTTATGACTTGATCTGTGTAGAAGTAGCGTTATTCGTTAACTAATTAAGGTCGATCTCTTTTGTTGACCTCATAAATAAGAAAATCGATAGGTAGATCTGTGTATGGTATGACTCTTACTAAAGGTTGGAGGTATTTTTAGTTCCCCTAAAAAAGGAAAAATTGCAAATTAAGTTGTTCAACTAAAAAGAGATTTGTAATATTGTCCATAATATAATTGTTTAATTACGCTGTACAGAAATGTACGATTCTCCTGCAATATAAGCAAGTGGACAATCTTATACGCCGAAAAACAATTTCATTACGATATAGCATTGTATTTGCCAAACCAATTGGAACATATCCCATGACACATTTTTTGAGGGCATGTTTTGACAATGTTTATGCTTTCGGCAAAATAGTCATTTTTCTCTAAACACTCTTTTAGTCAGACAAAATATTATTAGAAACAACTTTAAATTTTTCAAAAGCTTCGTCAAATAGTTCCTAACTCCTCTAGTGATTTATTCTCGGATTGAGAACTTGATCTGTATTTATTAAAATTTATTAAAATTAATTATAAATCTATTAAAGTTATGAATTTTATAAAATATGTGATTAAAATTAATTATAAATTTAAGTTTAGATTAAAATCAATCGAGCAAAATAAAAGTATCCCATATAGACGCTGAAAAATAAATGTTGAGTGAAATACAAGTAAACCGCTTTTTAATCATCAATAACGACAATGAGTTGAAATGGACTAATCATACTAGAATTTTCATAAATAATTTAAATACAGTAGAGTTGGTGAATAAGTTCACTGACTTTTGCGTTTTTGTACCAATCCAAGTTTGAATTAAGTGGGTTATATAAATAATTTTTTAATATTACACGCAAACTCTCAAATTCTTATTCGTTTTTAATCACAGATTTTTCAAAGTTAAATTTTTTTTTTTTCAAATAATGGAGTTCGAACGAGGGCTCGAGTCAAATTAATTATTAATTTTATCATATACCTTCTAAAATTTACAATATTTATCAGTTTTTTAATCTAATATTTTATCAAAAAATCTTCTGAAATTTTACGGTTGGATTTTTATTTTTTTTGGGATGATCCAACGTTATGCCAGAATGTACGATTTTTCTTCTGATCCAAGTTGGTGCCATAATGCATTTGCTCTGAATACGGCTTTAAATGAGTTCTGAAAGCTCTGACTAAAAATACAGACCCATCGAAACCTGAGCCTAATGACCAAACCCATTTGTAGGCCCGCACTCGCACATTCATTCGTCATAAATCTCTATTAATCAATTTTTGATTTGCCAATCAATCATAGATATTTCTCCTCCTGCACGATAAATATTCAATTGGCTAAGTCAAAAAACTATTTTTTGGCTAACTTATTGAACCTGTGAATTCACTCAAAAATTGTCGGAAAATAAAAATTCACCAAATTCATTGAAATTCGTTTTCTATGAAAACAAAGAAAATGCAGTTTAAAGTGGTTATATCTTGAAATTTCATTTTTAATTCTACGTTGCAATCAAACGGTCAAAGTGAAATTCGCTTTCCTCGAATTTGACATATTTCATGAAATTTGTTGCAATCAAACGGGGCCTAATAATTTTTTAGAAGAAATTGGTGTAAAGTAACTTTATCTATAAACTCTTTTCCAACAAGTAAAAACTCTGTCAAACGAGCTTGAAATGCATTTAGTACTAATTAATTTGTTCTCGTCGGAAATTTGAAAATTTTACCAACAATTTTTTACTTTTGAAAAAGTATAAATAAGTTAATTTTGGACAACTTTTTATAGGGTTCGATTCATTTCACCTTGATCACGAGTAAATTTGTGCCAATCATAAAGTTGACCTAAAAAAGATCGAGTTCGCCCTATATCCAAATAAGGGCATGTTCGGTAGAGATTAAAATTGAATTAAAATTGAAAAATTAATCGTTATTGTTGACTTTTATTAAATGAGTGGGACCCAATAACGATTATATTTTCAATTAAAATTGAATTTTAATCCTGAGCAAACATGCACTAAATTTTATAAATTTTACCTCATCCTAAAATCTATTACAATCAACCATAATTCAATATTACCTTTTTTTAAAATGTTCAAATCTTAGACATATATCTGGACCATGACTAGACCAGGAGTTGGTAACGTGCTCTGTTCATATGAGGTCCATGTCCATACCATTGTAACACAAATCTAGAGGAGAAAAAGGTGTCAACAGTGTTTTACACTTTCTTTTGACTCATATGATGTTCTTCTCGTACAAGACACCCACTCCCCATACCCCACACGTACGATACCACACGAATGCACCAGACCTCTGTCTCCCATTACATAAACAACACCTCAACTTTCTAAATATTGCATTCAACTCTCTATTTTCTTTTTTACCAAATTTAATCATTCCACTACCACATTCTCATATTCTTACCCCTTTCAAAATAAAAGCATGGAAATGGTTGTGTAGACATATGTTAAAGACAGTGCTATATCCAGCAAAGTTAGTCGATTATGTTCTTTTAAGGACCCCACCACATATTATTTTCACCAACAAATATATAATTTATCTAGACATTATTATTATTATTATTATTATTATTATTATTATTATTATTATTATTATTATTATTACTTTCCTATTTCTACGGATCTTTCGAAAAGGCATGTTATTTTCGAAATCGTTAGCGTCAATTGACACGGATGTGCGATAAATTTAGGCTTTTTAAAAATGTTGAACCCCAACTTTGAGGGTCTCCCACTGCCCCGCCTCTAAAGCATTGTGGAGGGAGAAAGTCGCGGGATGTACCTCAATAGGTTGGGGTACAAGAGCTGTCCTACCAATGCCCACAAAGAATCACATTCCTTACCATATAAAAGGGGATAATCGAACTCTCACACTACGGTTCTCAGCTCAACTAAGACTATCTCACTCATGTCCTTTGCACCATTGAGCTTTGCCACATGGGGCAAATTTAGGCTTTTTAACGTTTCATGTTGTGTGGTTACAGATATACAACATTTAAAAGTGAGGTTTTGAGTCCTTAATCTATTTGAATTTGTGAATAGATCATAAGTTATTGATCTCATCAATGAGGAAGTTAAAATCACAATTCGCAAGAGACATTTAAGTGACTCAAAGCTAGAAGGTAAAGTCATCAAAGTATATATAAGATTTCTTTCCTATTCGACGGAAATATCAAGTGCAATTTTAACATTTAAATGTATGATTTCCATAACAAAGGTACTCATAATCTTACTATGAATTATGAAAGAATGGAGACTTCATTCCTAATTTATCTGTAATCTTCGAAACTGTCAACTGACATTTATCTTATCTTTCAATTTCAATTACACCAAAAGGTCAGTCTGTCATTTTTTTACTAATAGATATGTTTCATCATATTGCAAATCAAAGTGATAAAATAATTCCCATTTCTCTCTGACTCTCTCTGTATATATATTCTCTTTCCTCTTATAGATTTACAGTGTAAGGTGCCCTCTTTGACTAGGATTCACATTCACTCACCGGTCTCACTTCTCACGCAACACTGTTTGGCATCACTATTACTCACACATCTTTATACAGAAACACGGAGAGCGAGAAAGAGATAAGCTGCTTGTTTGTGTACCACCGTGTGCGGCGATGGGCGTTTTGCGCCGTCACCACCACCACCACCAAAGTACAATCTCATTTGCTACAATAGCTTTTCTTCTACTTACTTCAGTTTCAGCTTTTAGCCTCAACCCTGCTCGTCAATTCAGTAAGTAAATTCAAATTTCTTCCGTATGGAATGAATTAAGCCCTTTTTACTGTGTTATTAACAAAATTCTATTCTCTTCTGTCTGTATGTAGCTTTTGGTATGAGAAAGATCAAAGAGGAAGTGATGGAGCGAGTTCTGAGTCGGAGGCGACTCGGTGGCCCAGGATCATCGCCACCCACCTGTAGATCCAAGTGTGGAAAGTGTTTACCATGCAAACCAGTGCATGTTCCAATCCATCCAGGATTCAGTATGCCATTAGAGTATTATCCAGAAGCTTGGCGCTGCAAGTGTGGCAATAAACTCTTTATGCCTTAGCAGAACCCCGCCCCATGCTCTTCCACCCTCCCCATTAAAATATTTGTATTACTAGTAATGCACAAACACAGTGTAGTTAGTACATTGTTAGATAACAAATTGTTCAGTTTTCAGTCTTATTTTCAATGTAATATGGTATGAATTGTCTTAAAGATTCAAATTATTATTATTATTATTTTTTTAATGTGAGAGACAACGACGTTGGGAATGTAATTTTTAGGTTAGATTCTCGAGAGGGATTCCTGTATGAATTCATCTCTTCAAATATTTTTTTTTCCTTTTTATTACTGGCATTAATGCAGGTGATGTACTGGGAGTGGGACACAATGAAAATAATAGTTGTAATTAAGAGCCGGCTTAGTAAAAAAGAAAAATGCTTATTCATCCTCAATGGGATGCTATCATTTAACAGTGATTTTTGAGGAGAATGTGTGGTAAAAAAAGGGTGTTTAACAGTGATTTTTGAGGAGAATGTGTGGTAAAAAAATTATGAAAAAGCTTCTGATATACTTGTGAAATATTTTATTGTAAATATGTGATTGAAAATGATTTGTAACAGTTTATTTTTCGTTCTTCTCACCCAAATCGATCGATATCTTGAATTGCCCACTTGCATTGTATAATATTGCTCAGGTGTGTTCGATATAGATTAAAATCGGATTAAAATTAAAAAAACAGTCATTATTTTTTACTTTTATTAGACGACTGAGTCCCAATAATAATTATATTTTCAATTTTAATTGGATTTTAATCTTAGACAAACATGTGAGTGAGAAAGAACTCAACTTTGTGATCGGGAATCGTTAAATGTAGCCATTGTCATTCGTCCTTTATTCTACATGGAATAATATAAAAAGAAAAGCCAAAACTTTGTAGCCCATATAGTTTAATTATAATTTTTAAAATAAAAAAAATCAGTAAAATATTTAAATTCGTCCAAATAATATTCTTATACAGGGTCGAGGGACAAGGGGCCAACTCTCCTGCAACATTTTAATTTTCTTACTACTTTGCCCATATATTTTTGGATGAAATAAAGTTGGGCTCCTCAAACCTTTCAAATAGTATGGTTATGGATCCTCGACATTTAAAAGTGACGTTTTCGGTCCACAACATATTTGAATGTCTGGATTTGAGTTTCCATGTGACGAAAATCGTCAATTTATACATTGGAATCGCATCCGAGTTTCAATTGAATTAAAGATAAATGTTATCTGATTTGACAATTTTGTCATTTAGTTATGAATTATGTAAAAGTTGCATACGATTTTAACCTTCACATGATTGCGATCACTTGTAGTCCACACAGAATTGGTTGAATACCTAGGAACACACCATAAGAAAATGTTAGAAAGCCAGACCCTTCTTCGAAATCGTTAGCGTCAATTGACATGGATGTGCGGTAAATTTAGGCTTTTTAAAAATGTTGAACCTCAACATTGAGGGTCTCCCACCGCCCCGCCTCTAAAGCATTGTGGAGGGAGAAAATCGCGGAATATACTTCAATAGGTTGTGGTACAAGAGCTGTCCTACCAATGCCCACAAAGAATCAAATTCCTTACCATATAAAAAGCAGGAATCGAACCCTCACACTACGGTTGTCAGCTCAACTAAAACCATCTCACTCATATCCTTTGCACCATTGAGCTTTGCCACATGGGGCAAATTTAGGCTTTTTAACGTTTCATGTTGTGTGGTTATAGATATACAACATTTAAAAGTGAGGCTTTGAGTCCTTAATCTATTTGAGTTTGTGAATAGATCATGCGTTATTGATCTCATCAATGAGGAAGTTAAAATCACAATTCGCAAGAGACATTTATGTGACTCAAAGCTAGAAGGTAAAGTCATCAAAGTATATATTTAACATTTCTTTCCTATTCGACCGAAAAATCAAGTGCAATTTTAACATTTAAATGGATGATTTCCATAACAAAGGTACTCATATTCTTACTATGAAAGAATGGAGACTTCATTCCTAATTTATCTGTAATCTTCGAAACTTTCAACTGACATTTATCTTATCTTTCAATAATACCAGAAGATCAGTCTGTCATTTTTTACTAATAGATATGTTTCATCATATTGCAAATCAAAGTGATAAAATAATTCCCATTTCTCTCTCTGTCACTCTCTATATATATATTCTCTCTCTTCTCTTATAGATTTACAGTGTAAGGTGCCCTCTTTGACTAGGATTCACTCACCAGTCTCACCTTCTCACGCAACACTGTTTAGCACACTATTACTCACATATCTCTTTATATTATACAGAAACACGGAGAGAGAGAGAGAGAGATAAGCTGCTTGTTTGTGTACCACCGTGTGCGGCTATGGGCGTTTTGCGCCGTCACCACCACCACCAAAGTACAATCTCATTTGCTACAATAGCTTTTCTTCTACTTACTTCAGTTTCAGCTTTTAGCCTAAACCCTGCTCGTCAATTCAGTAAGTAAATTCAAATTTCTTCCGTATGGAATGAATTAAGCCCTTTTTACTGTGTTATTAACAAAGTTCTGTTCTCTTCTGTCTGTATGTAGCTTTTGGTGTGAGAAAGATCAAAGAGGAAGTGATGGAGCGAGTTCTGAGTCGGAGGCGACTCGGTGGCCCAGGATCATCGCCACCCACCTGTAGATCCAAGTGTGGAAAGTGTTTACCATGCAAACCAGTGCATGTTCCAATTCATCCAGGATTCAGTATGCCATTAGAGTATTATCCAGAAGCTTGGCGTTGCAAGTGTGGCAATAAACTCTTTATGCCTTAGCAGAACCCCGCCCCATGCTCCTCCACCCTCGCCATTAAAATATTTGTATTACTAGTAATGCACAAACACAGTGTAGTTAGTACATTGTTAGATAACAAATTGTTCAGTTTTCAGACAGATTTTCAATGTAATATGGTATGAATTGTCTTAAAGATTCAAATTATTATTATTATTTTTTAATGTGAGAGACAACGACGTTGGGAATGTAATTTTTAGGTTAGACTCTCGAGAAGGATTCCTGTATGAATTCATCTCTTTAAATATTTTTTTCCTTTTTATTTTTTATTAAAAGGTTGAACCCCAACCTTGAGGGCCCTATCGACCCTGCCCTAGACCATTGTGGAGGAGGTAAATCGCAGGATGTGACTTTCAGGAGTCAGGGTGGAGAGTTTATGGATAGACCTGGGCTATTAACCCTATGATAACTCCCGTTTGCAACAAAATCAATTCCACCTTGCGGGAAATCGAACTCTAATCGAACTCTGCACACTGCCGCGCTGAGCCCTAACCGCCTTCCCCTTTGCCACTGGGAGATTTGCCCTGGGGGCTCCTTTTTATTACTTGCATTGATGCAGGTGATGTACTGGGAGTGGGACACAATAAAAATAATAGTCGTAATTAAGAGCCCGCTTAGAAAAAGGGTTTTTAACAGTGATTTTGAAGAGAATGCGTGGTAAAAAATTATGAAAAAGCTTCTGATATACATGTGAAATATTTTATTTTATTGTAAATATATGGTTGAAATTTGAAAATGATCTTGTAACAGTTTATTTTTCGTTCTTCTCACCCAAATCGACCCGACATCTTGAATTGCCCACTTGCATTGTATAATACTGTATGGACGTGTTCGGTATAGATTAAAATTAATCGTTATTGTTGACTTTTATTAGATGACTGAGATCCAATAACGACTATATTTTCAATTTTAATTGAATTTTAAGTTTAACCAAACATGTGAGTGAAAAAGAACTCAACTCTGTGATCGGGAATCGTTAAATGTAGCCATTGTCATTCGATCTTTATTCTACATGCAATAATATAAAAAGAAAAAGCCAAAACTTTGTAGCCCATATAGTTTAATTATAAATTTTAAAATAAAAAAAATTAGTAAAATATTTAAATTCGTCCAAATAATATTCTTATACTGGGTGGAGGGACAAGGGGCCAACTCTCCTGCAACATTTTAATTTTCTTACTACCTAGCACATATAATTTTGGATGAAATAAAGTTGGGCTCCTCAAACCTTTCAAATAGTATGGTAATGGATCCTCAACATTTAGAAGTGACGTTTTCGGTCCACAACATATTTGAATGTCTGGATTTGAGTTTCCATGTGTCGAAAATCGTCAATTTATACATTGGAATCGCATCCGAGTTTCAATTGAATTAAAGATAAATGTTATCTGATTTGACAATTTTGTCATTTAGTTATAAATTATGTAAAAGTTGCATACGATTTTAACCTTCACATGATTGCGATCACTTGTAGTCCACACAGAATTGGTTGAATACCTAGGAACACACCATAATAAAATGTTAGAAAGCCAGACCCTTCCTTGACCCATGCAGGTAAAAATCTTGGACCCGCCTGTCTCAATACATGATATTCGTTGGGGCCATGTCCCAGCAAACCAAAACATCGAGTCATTTCCAGGCCATACCTAAAAAAAAATCCTTTGAATATTAGAATTTTGGAAAATGGTAAGCTTTACAAAAAGCAATAAAGAGAAATTATTTGAAGTGATATTCGATTTGACATTGTTGCTGGCTTTATCAGTGCCTTAATTATTTTTATTTATTTATTTACATATGAGTGTTAGCCCTTACTTGGTAATTGGGATTAAAGTTAAATTTTTAGTAGTATTTGATAAAAAATAATGAAATGTGTGATAAAAAATATGAATCTCACAAAATATATAGTTAAAATTTATTATTAAATTTAATTTAAATTTTAATTCATGTCAAATAGGACATAGACTGTTTGATTTGTAACATTTTCCTCGAAAGTAAGAATACACTTTCCATTTTCCAACGAAACGAGTGTTTGATAGCAAAACAATTCCATGGAACTCCTTTTCCAACTTTCACTTCACGCCCCCACTTTTCCTTCTTTTTTATGAAATTGTTTTCCCATGGTTTTGATTATTTTATGTTTTCCAACCATTTTTTTTTACAATTGAAAAAAATTATAAACACAATAGTAAAAAAATTTATTACTCTTATTAACAATTTTCGTGCAAAACAAAGTCAAACGAATGATATTCAGTAAGGTAAATTTTTTTTTTTTAGTTTTTAAATAAAAAAATTTAGTTTTTGGAATTGGAACAAATTATAGACCCAATGATAAAAAAATTATCACTTCAATGGATAATTTTCATGAAAAACAAAGTTAAATGGACACCAAACTTTCAACATTTTTCAAGTGAAAATTGTACCATTCAAACACCATTAATTATAATTCTCAGTAAAACAAATTATAGTCAATTCGTTTATCTGGAATTCATTTTTTTTTTCACCCATTTTCCACATTTACAATCAAACGGACCCTTAATGTTTGTTTCTAAAAAAAGTTACTAAAAATTTAAAGTCAAAATAATTAATTAATTTGAGCCACGTATGGATATCACAAGTTTTATTAGTAACTTTTAACTATATATTTGTATCCAATTTTATCAAAATCTATCAAGACTTTTATCAAAAGTTTTATGAAATAAATCTTAGTTTGTCAATTTGGGCTAATCTTTGTTTTCTTGGGCTAGTTTTTGGGCCTTCCTAATTAAAGCCCAATAATCATACGATACTGCCAAATGCCAATGGCATAATAGAGAGAGGGAAAGAACAGATGCGACCTACTTCTCCGGCGTTATTTGTTAGTTCCGGCGGCGGATCTTGATGATTGGAAACCAGAAACAGGTTATACACTATTCTTTTACTTTGATTTTTCCTCTTCTCTTGTTGTACGGTGTCTTATTTTTGTTCTTTTATCTTCTTCTCCTCTTGTTATTTTTTTTTTCTTTTGCGGTTGTATTGGCATTTGGCTGTGGTTTTCGTAATTCATACTGGGTCATTTGGGAGCTGAATAGAATTTATCTCCTGCTGCTAACCTCTGCCCCAATCGATGTACTTAGACTGATATGTGATTTTTTTTTTTTTTGTGCTTAAAAGCAACTCTTTTTATTGAAGTAATCGAAAGATGTTACTAGTTCTGTTTTCTCATTGTGGTTCTTTTGAGTTTTTACATCAAATGAAAATAACGAGAACTCTTCCCTTTCTTAATTTTCTTCCATTTCTCACACAGAAGCTGCAGCCGCTCGTCCAGCACCGTCACTGCTCCCCCTCTGCCGGACCGCCTCTACTCTCCCTCACCGCCACCGGCTCCACTGCGTGCAGCGGTCCGCTCCGCCCCTTCTAAAAGTAAAACCAAACCCTCTATTCCTAAATTCTAATTCTTCAAATCTCTTTCAAGGCTGTTTCAATACTTTAGCCAACCCAATATTTGTTGTTCCAAATCTCTTTCAAGGCTGTTTCAAAAGATGCTTTGAAGAATTTTCTTTACAGTCTACAGATTTTCAATCTTGAGCTGAGGAAAATTTTCATATTCTGCTTTTCAGTACTCTCATTCAATTATGAGCATCATTTACCAATTATTCAATTTAAATTTAAGAAATCGAACAAATTTGAATAGTAAATTACACCAACCCAAAATTTTCAGGCTGACATTATTTACAGTTCGAATAATTGAATTAGATGTGAACTTTATGGTTTTGCTTTAGCTGAAATATATGTACAAGATTGTAGATTGATGCATTTGATATTTGGGATTAAAGGGAAGTCAGGTGTGATTCAAGAAGATAAGGAGTTTTCAAAAATTTGACTTATATTTTGCTATTCTTGAGTTTACTGGTCTTTGAGTGCTGATTAACGAAGGTTCAAGCCATGGGTTAATTGATTTAATTGGAAATTTGAGTTAATTATTTTTCCTTTCAATTACTTTTTTGCAAGTTTTATTGTGGTCCTCTAATTAAAAATGTCTGCTTCTTAGGCAAATCGTGGTCATATTCCGGCAGCTCATTCAATCTAGCTTCAATTGCTAATATGTATTGAACCAATTTATCGCAGTACTATTCAACATCTTTTGCTGATTTTCCATAAAGTTTGGCTGCAATTTTTTGCCATCTATTGGGTGTGCCTTCTGAGATTTCGGCAAGAGGCACCTCAAAATCATTTATTTTCTTTATGTATCTGTATCGTAGAAGTTGTCACTTGAAAACGAGAGCTATTAGCATAGGCCCACTTTTTAGTGCCACAATATTGATACAAGAATTGTAAAGTGAAAGTGATGTCTTTTCACACAGATGATTGAAACCTTGTTACTTCTCATTTTTGTTTATATTCTCGTTGTGCTTAATAATCCATGATTTGTTACACCATCATTAGGGTTCTTATTCATGATTTTCTCAATTTACTTGTTTGAAAATTGTATGGGAAACAGAATTTTCAGGTTCCTTTTTCGTTTGGTAGATTATGGTGTTTTTCAAATTTATTTCGAACATTCAAGCTAATGTTAGTGCATAACTACTTGCCCTGTTTGTTTGGTGGGATACGATGCTCTTACCTTGTTTAATGGAGGACAATTGAAATTTGCAGGCAATTTAAGTTCAAACATCCAATTGCTTGTGACCACTCAAACGACATGATTAAAATTTAAATTCTTATCGTATTGACCAGCCTTTGGCAATGAAGATGTAAGGTTTTCACACAACACAGATTTTTCTTTTTAATACTTAGTTGCTATACTGTCTTATTATGCCAAAATGACTAGTTGAATTCGTATGCACCTTACTGTTGGGTATTTTGCAGACTCCAATCCAATGCTGGTGTACTTACTAACTGTGAAGTTCTTGAGCTTTTAAGATCCAGAGGTGCCGGGAAAGATCCTACACGTGTTATTGCTGCCATTACACCATCTGAATTCAAGGTTGGAGCATTTTGTTCTTAATTTATATATCGTTGATATTTTCTCAACGTGGATTTATTTGTGGCTGATGCATTTTTTCTTGGGTGCAGGTTTTTGATTATTTAGAACAGACTGTTGCATCCAATCAAACAATAGAAATCATCCATAAGTTTGTGGAAGATTGTGAAAAATATGACCTTGCTAAGGGTGAAATCCTTAATATCGTCAACATTAGGCCATCGTCTGCAGTTGAGATCGACCCGGTAATTGCTGTTTGCTTTTACTTGAATACCATTGTGGATTCATAGTGTTAGTTTTTATCTTCATTCATCAAGCAATTCAAATTTAAGAATTCTCAAGATGCTCCTTAGAGATGCTTTAAAGTGCGTATGGTACATGTTGCTCATGCTATGTATGTTATCACAGATGTATTAGTCAAAAGAAAATGTGGTCAAGATTTGATGGTGGTAAATTCTAGATGTAATGTGATGCTAAGAGATAAAAATGAATTTAGCAGAAGCTTCGAGAGGCTACACAATTTCATTTTGGCATTTGCTTTCCATTTGGATCATTCATAAATCCCAAATAGGAAGTGGGGAAACGCCAATGCAAGGGTCTTGAAGTATATGCTGATTGAGAGAATTTTTGATTATATGATTATCACTTAAACCTCGTGAAAAACAAACACTATGTTTGAGATGTGATTCTTGTTGATAATGAGAATGCAAGGAGAATATTGGCATTGTCCCCCAAATAGCATGAAATACATTAGTGAGATCCAGAAAAATTTCAATAGAACAGTTACTGATTATGCTAGGGTTGTGATTTGAAAAGAAAGCATTGTTGAATTGGATGCGTGTTGTAGCAATCTAATTCTAATGCATTGCATTCATTTCATCGGAGCCTATGTTTGGCTCATGTTTATATGCTGTTTATAAGCACTCAAATCCACTTTTTATCACCACGTTTCCACCTATCCACCACTCATTTTTATTAATTTATAATTTAAACCGTTTATAGTTATGTGCTATATATATTTTACATCTTCAAAATCTTAATTCTCTTCCATTCTCAAGTTGCTCAGATTTTTGCAAATTTATTTGTATTTTTCCCTCTTGTTTGGCCCTATACTTGTAGATCATACAAGATTGCGACTCGCGCATGGGAGATAGAATCGATGAGTTTCTAGAGACGGTGGTGCAGGTTTTGCCTCCGCATCCATCACAGCTCGAGTCTAACGAGGGCAATGGCGAAACTCCTGATGATCAACAAACAGAGTGTGAAATAAAAACAATTCCCCAAACCAGTTAACATGGTGAACATAAATTAAGCTCATAGTTTGAATATAAAGCCGTTTTTTAGCTTTAATTTCAATTTTTGCTTAATTCCCCAGATTTCTTATTTATCTGATGAAAAATTATAATATGAACATACGTGTATCCGACATATGTATGTTTGAGGGTGTGGTTATCTAGTGTTGAATGGATGGACAACAGTCTCAACACGATCTTTGTGCAAACTATGTCAAGTGAAGTAGGGCGTTCAACACATTTGATTCGTGGTATAATGGTTTAACATTCACGATTAACGTAGTTTTGCAAGAGTTCTTTGTGCTCGCTCTTGTGCTGATATTTACTGCTTGAAAACTTTTGCTCTTTGCATAGTTGTATGGCTTGTAAGCTAGAGAAATTGTTTGGAATTTTGCTTCGAAACAAACAAATAAAAGAAATATCCTGAGATTCAAGAATTTAAAGCAAGGTATCAGACTTCAATCAAATACTGACCATAGTTTGAGAGAACCCAAATCAAATCACAGAAAGGACATGCTACTTGTAGTTTTCTTTCTACAGTTCAAGAAGCTTCCATAAATTGCAATGACTTCCAATGGATCAGAAACTGTTACCCTCTCCAAGGAGGATAAGCACGTGCACTTGGACGCTTCTGTCTGCTTCAATACCGAGGTATACCTGAGTAATACAGAAAACTGAACGAGAATTACTTGGGTACATTGTTCTTTGTACCTGTGAATTACAAACGCTTTCGCTCAATGAGTTGTCCATTGGTGGATTTTGATCCGAGTCAAAAGAGAGCACTTGTGTGCATCTATTCTTCGTGGTTGAATAGGAGAGGAAGGATTTCGTGCACACTGATGTCTAAACCAACAGGATCCCAGAAGAGAAAAAGAGGGACTTTCAGGTCTTCAATAATGTTAATTGAATACGTGAGAAAAATGGGCTGTAATACTTGTTATGTTATTTCCAAGGTCAAATAACTTCATCATCATGGAAATCATTCAATATGCGTATGTTGCTTGTACCTTTCACAAATGTGTNAAATAATTTCATCGTCTTTGATAGTTATTCAATTCAATATCCGTTTGTTGCTTGTGCCTTTCACAAAAGTGTTTTTTGTTTTTTTGTGTGTGTGTGTGTGTGTGTGAGAGAGAGAGAGAGAGAGAGAGAGAGAGACCTGCACAAGATTTGCCCCTTTTCAGTAGAACTGGGGACGAACCACAATCTCCGTAATAAAGGCGATTCAAATTGGATAAAGAAACCATCATTGTGTCCATGCTTCCATTTCCTTGATCCTTGACCTTTCCATACCTGCATTTATCGAGATGATATTAGAGATAGTTCAGTTCTCAAGGTAGAAACTTCAGTTTTGAAGGCATGTACCGCTTGAAAGAAAGTAAACTAAACTAATGATAAATAAAGGTGTGTGATTCACATAATAGGAGAGAAAGGAAGAAGTTCCCAGTGAACGCAAGAATGCTGATAATGTGGCAAAGATTAGTATTGCAACCTTGGAAAATTAGAGGCCATGATCGACGATGTTTATTCATCTCACATTTAAAACTTGCACAACAAACTTCTCGTTTAGAGCTTGTTTATCAACCATTATTGTAGAAAAAATGAGTTTTGAATGGTGATTTTTAAGAGACAATGGCTAAAAAGTAGGGAAAAGTTTTTTGGTATACGTTTAGAATTTATTATTGTTTGAATGTGTAATTGAAAATAATCTTGTAGCAAAACATAAAATAAAGTAATGAATGTCAAATAGGCACTTAATGAACTGAACATCACAAATGACAAACCACCATCCCTTTATGAAAATTGTGCATGCGTCAAGTTTTTGATAGAAAATGAATTCGGCCTTCAAAGGGACGGGTTGAAGAGTTAATATAAATAAAACAGTGTCCCCTATATAACAACTTAAGTTGTTAGATAAGATACCAATATAAATCATCAACAACAAACATCAAATAAGAGCTCAGTATAAAAAACAACATAAAGTTGGGGATGTAAATGAGTCAAGCCGAGCTGGCTCGCAAGCCGAAAGGCGCGGTTCGGGTAAAAATTGATCGATTTTTTTTGCCCGAGCTGGCTCTTTTTTTTTCCCTTGAAATTCTCATTTTTTTTAATTTTTTAATTTTATTTTTTTAAAGGCAGCTGTAGAGCTGCCTTTTCAAAAGATGTACAACTACCTTATTTCCAAGACATGGGCCAAAATGCCCTGTGTCGGTGTGGTTGACACGGCCGACTCAATACTAAAAAATGAAGCTCGATTCGAGCCTCGGCTAGGTTCCAACGAGCAGCGAGCCGGATTGACATTCCTACATAAAGCAGTCATATATGCAACAGATGGTGACTCTTCTCTCACTCACCAACTCAAATTTCACTACAACCAAATGTTTTGCCATATCAACATTCAATCTCATGTTTTCCACTTCTTAAGCTCACTTTTTATCTTTTGACAATTGTGTAAGCCACTTAATTTTTTGGACACCTCCGAACTTTTTGGATTGCACTTCAACTTCAAGCATGGGCAGATTTGGCAGTGGGCTACACTTGGCCGTAGCCCATTGTTGTCCAAGCCCAGATCCATTAAAAATGTTACAAATTGGTTGTAGCCCACTGTTGTTCAAGCCAACTGTTGTCCAAGCCCGAATTTGGAAGTGAGCTACACTATTTTATTTTTTAATCTTTGGCCCATATATTTATTTAATTTTAGGCCCAATTCTTTAAACAAACATATTTAATTTTTTTAATCTTTGGCCCATTCGGTTTTCTTCCATCTTCACCTAAAAACAAAATTGAAATAATTTCCAATACCCCCAAAATCTTTTTACGTTTTCACCCAACTATAGAGACGACCGCCGTCCACCGACCACCTACAGTCGACCGGCACCGCCACACGCACCTGATTATCGAAACTAGAAAGTTACTTCTTTAAATAGACGTGTGGAAGGAAGGAGCATCTATTCCAATTTCCACCTGCTATGAAAACCGATTTGAAGAAAAATTGGAAATTTCTCTGTGCTTCAGCCTTCGCCCTTCAGGTACGTAAATATTACATTTGACAATTTTCGACTTTCTGTACAGTGCACTGGAATTGAGTATTTATTTTCGATTGCTGAATTGGAATTGCCGAATGCAGAATGCTTCAGATCTACAATTTGGAACCATTTAAAATTAGTGCATGGAATTAATTTTGAGTATTTATTTAATTATTTCATATTCTCCCAATGGTCACCAGTTCGAGTCCCCCCAGGCCACTGAGGTGAGTATCCAACCGTAAACTTCAGGGTCCCGTGGAATTAGTTTAGGTGCGCTCAAATTGGCCCGAACATCCACGGTTATAAAAAAAATGGAATTGTTTGAAAATGTAGCTGCCTATGCTTAAGGACAGAATTGTAGAATTGTTCACTTGTTTGAATTGTATAATTATGTTAAGGACATAAATAGAGGAAATGTTAGCTTTGGGAATTTAGCCATCAGCCATGTTAAATTTTGAAAATGAGTGCTCTGTTTGTGCTTAATACATATGATAGGAATTGTAGAATTATATTAGCTTTGGGAAATTTGAATGTTAGCTCAGGTGCATTCGGCTATTTAGGAATTTAGGAAATGTTAGCATTGAGAATTTGGCCATGTTTAATTTTGAAAATGAGTGCTATGTGCTTAACACGAAATGAAACATGTGAAGACGGAAATTCGTAACAAAATGGATGATTTAACAAAATGGAGGATGATTTTCTTGCTAAGTGTTTCATACTAAACATTGAATGAGAATTTAGACCTAGATTCTATGATAGATGAATTTTATGCGATAAAACATCGTCAGGTACAACTGTAATAGGTAACGTTATATTATGATTTTTCTTGTTATATATAAATTTTATTTAGGGCTGGATAGGGTCCGGTTCGGTTCGATTCTCTCGATTTTGAAGAGAACTGAACCGAACCAAAATTTTCAAGTATTTAATAAATGAAACCGTCGGGTCCAAATATAATTATGGAACTGTTTGAGTTCGATTCGGTTTTGTACCGTAGTTAAATTTTTTAACAGATTTCTAATGTTCAACGATCGATGGTCGTGGTTGGAGGTTGCGGCTTCGGTGTGCATTGGAGAGGGGAAGTCGGACTCGACAGTCGGCGGTTTCGATTTGGGCAATCGGCGGTTTCTTACATTGGCAAGTGTATAGAACAAATGAGAAAGCACTTGAAAAGATTAGGGAGAGTGTGATGGATCATTGCAATATATTGTAGGATTACTCTGAGGAGTTGAAGCGAACAAATATTGGGACCACTGCTTTGGTTGAGGGTTATGCTGGAGAATTCAGACGGTTGTATATTTGCTTTGGAGCTTTGAAAGAGGGCTTCATTAGGGGTTGTAGAAGAGTGATTGGCCTAGATGGTTTCTTTCTGAAGACACGACATGGTGGGCTGTTGTTATCCGCAATTGGTGTGGATACTAATAACGACATGTATTCAATAGCTTATGCAATTGTTAAGGTTGAGAATTGAGATAATTGGAGGTGATTTTTGAAGTTGTTGAAGGATGATTTGCATATACATAATGGCGTGCACTGGACATTCATTTCAGATAAGCAATTTGAGAATGCAGAGTATAGAACATGTGTTAGACATCTGTACAATAACTTCAGTGTCTTGCTTAAGGGATTGGCTCTGAAGCAATGTCTTTGGGAAGCAGCTAGAGCCATTATTGTGCCACGATGGCTTGAACACATGCAAAAGATGTTGGACTTAGATCCGGCTGCATATGGTTGGCTTGAACCAAAACCAGCATTCCATTGGAACAAATCCAACGTCAGAGAATGGACTTAGTGTGACATGCTTCTGAACAATTTGTGTGAATCATTCAATAGCACAATTGTCAATGCAAGAGAGAAGTTCATTCTAACCATGCTTGGGGAGATTAGGTCGTATTTGATGAAGAGAATTGTAGCCCATAGGGAGTCAGCTGATATTATCAATAAGAACAGTAAGCTCTTAAGGTTTGAATAGGCTGAATATGCGAGGAATGAGAAGTTCCAAGTTCGGCACAATGCAGGCATTGTACTACATGTTGTTGACCTCACGGAAATGACTTGTATATGTCGTGCTTGGTAGTTATTAGGAATCCTTTTTGCCATGTGATTTCATCGATGGTAACTAGAGGCTTTAATGTCATTGATTATGTAGATGCCATCTACAAAAAAGAGTCTTACCGGATTACATATACGTCTTCAATTTTCCCCATCACAGGTTCGGACTCATGGCCTAGTGTAGGTCTCAACCCTCTTAGACCACCTGTATACACCAAAAAGTCTGGAAGGCCAAAAAAGAACAGAGGAAAAGAGCCAAATGAGTTGGAGTCTTCAATTCAGGCGAAGAAGTCCAGAAAGTCTTCGCAAAATGAAAAGCCATCGGAGACAACTTCAGCAAGCATATCTGGTGCAATGAAAATAGTAGGGATGACTCAAACATGTCAAAAATGTGGTGAACCATGCCACAATAAGAGGAGCTGCAAAGGCAAACCACCACCTGCATCAACGTCAAATTAGGGACAGTCTTTCAACCTATTGTTAAATGCAGTTTTAGTACATTGAAGCAGTTGTTAAATTGTAAATTTCTTTTGTTCATGTGTCTAGATGCTCAACAGTATAACAGCTCAAACTATTGTGTCTGAAAGTCTCCATTTTGCCTATTTTAGATGCAAATTTGGTTCACTCTTAATTTTGATTTTGAGTTTTTTTTTTTTTTTAGTATTTTCTGTTGCTATCTTTAATTTGTAGTTTGATCAGTATGTTGAGTTACTGTGGTTGATTAGTATCTTGAGTCGCTGTGGTTGATTAAGGTCTTGACTTACAGGATATTACAAGGACAATTTTCACAAAAATCTGAAACTTAGGTACGTAATTCGCAAAACGTGTCAAACTTATGGACGTTTTACACACAAAAATTTAAAACGTTGGGATGTTTTACGCAATCACGATTTGAACGTTGGGACGTCATACGCAAAAAAAAAAAAAAAAAAATTTATAACATAGGGATGTTTTGCACTTTGTCAATTTCAGGGATAAATTGATTGGGAGCTTCAGTTTTAATGCAGAATTCTGGGATTGAGATTTGTGATTTCTAATATCGATTTGCTGTGGATAGTAACGACGGATGAGAGCAGGTACAGAAGTCAAAACTGAATAATGGAAAATGCATGACCTTGATGATAATGAACAATGGACTTCAAAAATATAGACACTGTCATTTCAAAATTACGATCTAACGCAAATGATTTCAGATTCAACAACTTAAGAGGTAAAACTATTTCGTTTTATTTGATTAATCTTTTTGTTTTTACTTTTTAAGAATAACTTGTTTATGGCGGGAAGAAGAGCCAAATGAAGTGGTCTGACCATTTTACCCTTCGAGTTTCAAATTAAAAGTGAGTCCAAATATGCATTTAAAGGTGGAACTCATATGACGTTTTCCATAATGAAACGTTGAAATAAGGATGAAAATACAAAAAGGCTTAATAGCACAAAATGTCCCTACTTTTGGCACGTAGTGTGCAAAACGTCCCTACATTTCATTTTTTTTTGCATCTTCGCCCTTATTTCAACGTTTAATTGCGGAAAACGTCATTTTCATTGTTTTTAGTGTAAAATGACCAATATACCCTTCTATATAAATAAAACAAAAAAAGGAAAATAATAATAAAAAAATAAATTGTAATTATACTCCCGAACTTTTTAAAAAGTGCAAGTGAGTCCAAAAGTCTTATTAAAAGGCTTAAGCACAAAACGTCTATACGTTTTACACTTATTGTGGAAAACGTCTTTACGTTTCAAACTTTTTCTACTTTGCTCAATAATACAAAACATCCCTACGTTTGACACTTATTGTGTAAAACGTCCTTACATTTAATTTCTTTTGCATTTTTGTCCTTATTTCAACATTTCATTTCGGAAAACGTCATTTTCATTATTTTTTAATATAAAATGACCAATATACCCTCATATTTAAATAAAACAAAAAATAACAATAACAATAAAAAATAAATTACAATATACTCCCAAACTTTTTAAAAAGTGCAAATGAATTCAAAAATATTATTAAAACATTCAAACCATCAGCCTTCTCTTCCTTCCTCAACCTCTCCCTCCACCACCTAAACCACCAGACCCCACCGCCATTCAAACCATGTCACCTCCCTCTACAATGCTGGGGCTGATGGTTGTAGCCAGCATTAACGTTGATGGCGATGGTGGTGGCGCTAGTTCCGACCAGACATTGACCGAAGGGTATATTGGTCTTTTTTTTTCATTTTTTTAAATTTAAATATAAGGGTATATTGATTATTTTACATTCAAAAATAGTGAAAATGACGTTTTCCGCAATGAAACGTTGAAATAAGGACAAAAATGCAAAAGAAATG